TCGACAGTCATACTGTAAGCCAAACGAATCGAGGAATATATTCGGCAAACACATTCAAGGGAATACTCGGAACGGTCGCTGTGTCAGGTGATCGGGGTTGGACCGGAATCTCCTTTCGGAAACAGTAGCATGAACACCACAGATGTATTCGATGAAGCACGTGCAAGTCTGATGGTGCTTCGAATGCACAGCGAAATCAATATGGCGCGGAACATTTCCATCTACACTAACGAATACGAAAGCGCTCTCCTTGGAACCAGTGGGAGAGTTAGAGTGCCTGCGGTCATCGGAATCAAAACGCATGAACAGCAGTCCAATATTGCGCAACTGGTCACCCTCATACTCTAAAACGCTCCCCTTCCTCGCGAGCTGCTTCTCCTAACAGCCTAAGAACTTCATCAGAATCATAGACATACAGGTGACCTTACACAGAGAAATTTTGTTTTCGAACACCATCATCACGATACTCAAGCTCGTTGCCACTGTCATGATTGTGAACGCCTCGGTTTAGCAGTTTTCATGAGACTCGGGACAGTCAACTGATTTTGTTGTCCCAGCACATTAAACAGATTTGCACCACCGACTTGCTCAAAGGCAGTGGAAGCCATATGACTTCCACTGCCCTTGTGCATCGCCATGGATTTTAAGGAAAATTTTATTTCATCTAAAATGTAGACTCAGAGAACTCCTTGCCACCCAGTTTCAGTCTTATACGTTTCCTCTTTTTTGTGGTGGAAAAAGAAAGTACAGGGTGACCCATTTGAAAAGTTTACCAATGAATGGCCATGTACAAAAGAAACCACTGGACAGAAGAAGCTGAAACTTGGCATGTAAGCAGTTTGAAGTATGGGCTTCTCGAATCCGTATGGACATAAAAAATAAAAAAGTATAGTGTCAAAAGATGGCACCACCCGCGCATGTCACGAGGTCAATTGCAAAGCAAACCACAGGATAGATGAAGCTGAAACTTTTCTTTCCAAACCACGTTTCATCAATTGCAAAATGTGCAAGAAACTACATTGCAAAGTTGTAACGCCTTTCCATGTCGGCAGCTGACAAGGCCTGAACTCGGCGAATCCGATATGGAAACAGCCGAAGCGCAATTTTCATCGTCCTCCGAACTGTCTCTACCGGTATTCCAGTGCGACGTGCATCAGCCCTTGCACTGACAATACCAACATGCGATCAGAAAATGCCACTTCTGCAGCCATGTCTTCGGAAACCCTACGGCCTCTCTTCTTCTTCGAATTGGCGACAGATCCTGTCTTTTCAAATTTTGCCACAAACTTTCCAAACGCTGATAGCGAGCATAGATCGTGGCGCATGTTGTGGCTTCCACGGCACGACCTTAAGGTGGCCTCCGCATTCCTCCCATTTTCGTAAAACTTCAGTATCAGCACGATCCGCGTAGAGAGCGCTAGTATTTTAACTTGCACTGANGACTTCGGAGGGAGGGAGTGAGGGGGGTGTACACGCCCTTGGGATAAATTTCCCAGGCCTAGGCCTACCCCATGGATTGACCCTTAGGCCAATACTACTTTTATCCACACTCCTCCTCAAAGGAAACGGGATGGAAAAGAAATAGCTGTTGGCTTGCATACTACAAATACAGTTCGACATTGGCAGTACTTGCCCTAATGGGAATGACTCAGCAAGCTTATATCCAATCCTTGGACGATTGCTCAGCCCTACATTGATCTTTAATATTAGCCATCTTAGCGTTAAAACTCTGAAGTGGGTTGTTTTGGGATGCTGTGTGCAGAAAAATGCAGACTTTGGAAGTAAATGCCCTGGGGCACAAATTTCAAACGGAGATATTTTCCAATAATTTGTTTGCATCAGTTAAACTGATGAACACGGAAAGCTGGAACTTTGCAGGAATGTTACTACTGAGACATGGAGTTAAAGGAAAATGTTAAGTCTCGATACATCCCATGGGGGAATTTTTTCGAGGGGCAATGTTTAAAAAAAATTTTGTCGCGGCGAATTGGACAAAAATGGAAAGATGAAACTTAGCACACGTATAACTGACATGATATTACTAAGCTGAGGGAGTATTCAGCTTTATGGGGCATCCCCTCCGGGCATAGCTTTTGGGTGGGTCGGCTTTTTCAAGCATGTTTTTTCACCAGCGAAAAGGGCAAACGTATAATATTGAAACTTTGTTGGCATGTAGTTCACCGGGCATACATAGAAAAGTAGCTGGCGCACGCATCACTGAAGTGATGTTGATTTAAGGAAAAAGTAAACTTTTTTTATGCGTCTTCTCAGAGCACAGCTTTTGGGTGGGTCGCTTTTCCAAATACAGGGTGACCCATTTGAAAAGTTTACCAATGAATGGACATGTACAAAAGAAACCACTGGACAGAAGAAGCTGAAACGTGGCATGTAAACAGTTTGAAGTATGCGCTTCTTGAATCTGTAGAAAAATAAAAAAATAAAAAAGTATTGTGTCAAAAGATGGCACCACCAGGGCATGTCACAGGGCCAGGGAAAATATAAAAGATCAGTGGATGACAACGGACTGGAATAGTACGGATCCTAGTCAGTGCAAGTTAAAATACTAGCGCTCTCTACGCGGATCGTGCTGATACTGAAGTTTTACGAAAATGGGAGGAATGCGGAGGCCACCTTAAGGTCGTGCCGTGGAAGCCACAACATGCGCCACGATCGTCTATATATATTAGATGAAAGTACTATATCATTTATTTTTCATTCAGCTATCTATTAGGTACTTCATTGTCAAGTTTAAACTCTATTGTGCCCTCCGTTTTGCTGGATCAAAAAATTCGGGAAAATACGCCTTTTGCAAAATATGTGTCCCCAAGCATTTTCACCGAAAATTACAATTTTTTAAAATACCGAAATCGAACTCAAGTGAAATACATGGCCACAAAGTTTCAATCCTATACGTTTGCCCTTTTTGCTGGTGAAAAATCATGCTTGGAACAGCCTACCCACCTGAAAGCTATGCCCGGAGGTGATGCATCATGAAAGCTGAATACTCCCTCAACTCAATAATATCATGTCACTTATACGTGTGCCAAGTTTAAACTTTCCATTTCTGTCCAATTCGCCACGACAATTTTTTTAAACATCGCCCCTGGAAAAAATTCCCACAGGGGATGCATCAAGACTTAACATTTTTCTTTAACGCCTTGTCTCAGTTGTCACATTCATGCAAAGTTCCAGCTTTCCTTGTTCATCAGTTTAACTGATGTAAAAAAATACTTCAAAATATATCCCTTTGAAATTTGTGCTGCCAAGGTATTTACTTGCAAAGTCTGAATTTTTCTGCACGCAACATCCCAATAGGTAGTTATCAACCAAGTTTCATCTTTCCACACTAGCTCAATGCACCAGGACAAAAAAATACTCGATAACGTCGGCCCCAAAAATATGCCCCCAGGGCATGGATCTAAAATTGTGTATTTTTCCTGAAAGCATCGTCTCGGTAGGCACGTCCATGCCAGGTTTCAGCTTTCAATGTTTCTCTGTTTTATTCAAGCAAATATAAGGTTATTAAGGGGGAATGAGTATCGGCACATTGAATGCAAGAGAAGCCAAAAGAAAAGCCATGGAATGGCTGGGAATTGAACCCAGGCCTTCTGATTGCCGGTCATGTGTGTTACCACTACAACACTGAAACCAGGACATCCATCTGGATTGTGGATCTCGATGGCATTCTCATTCGTCACAATATATATTTAAAAAAACGTATCCCCCCAAAATGTGTACCACCACGGCATGTACCTCCAAAGCCGGACTTTTTTCTGGACTTTGCATCCCAAAAGGTACATGTGTACCAAGTTTGAGATATATAGCCTGTCTAGAACATGGTTAGAATTAGCGTCAGTCAGTCACGATCCTCTATATATATTGGATTGCTGCAGTAAGTATTCGCTGCCTCCCGCTGTTCTGGGTGGCCCTCCGATCGCTACGTGGAGCATTCAATGCTGCGCGGTGTTCGTCACTCATTCTAGCCCAACGACCACCACGGCTTGCATTTCCTCAAGCACCGTTTTCTGCAGTTTACACTGCAACTTTGGTTGCTGATGTGTTTTCCTCGCCAAGACCAATCGTTTCATATGCGGCGACTGCCTGCCTCATCGCCGCCCTGTGCAACCTTGACCAACATTTATTCTTTGTGTTAGACCACACCACTAGATCGTTGCCGTCAATTTTGACCGGAAGAGCGGCCCGTTTGCGGGACATATAAAACAAAGGATTTACGTAATGATTTTCTGCCTCATCAATCAACTGTGAAAAGAATAGGCCATGACATGAAAAAGAAACAGAAAAGCATTGCATGGCTCCGACGACGCGAACGGCCATTCCTGTCATTAAAAAAATTTTCTATGAAACAATGCATCAGAAAAGAGTATTGGAAAACCTGCATTCGGTTGGTAGAAACGCGATACGCCTTCACAGTGAACTGTGTCAATTAACATTTGAGCGCCCCTAAGAAGGAAGCCGATGAAAATAGAACGACTTTAACTATGGCCTAGGATGACTGAACCTTGTAAGTCTGGCGCTTTAGGCCATGGGTGGCCTAGCCTATGGCGTAGAATGGCGTGGTTTATTGGAGAAAGTCTGCCTTTTATTAATGTATCCATTTGCTAGCTGATGCGGACGATAGACTTGCGGCTAACAGTTTTTCGGTAGAATTTCGCATTCAATCGTCAAGTGGGTTCCGTTACATTCTGGCCGAATTCAAAGCCAAAGTCAAGCCGAACTAGTAGTCCAAAATTATTGATAGGCAAAAATTACCTAGGAGCGTTAGACTATTTCCTTGTAATTTGAATCGACAACACTGCAGACACATTCCATCAGACACAGAAGAATGTGACTCGGCGCTGCAGGCGTGATTTCAAATGTGGACGCCTTTAAATGACCTACGTAAAAGGAATTCAGGACATTTGGACACATGGATATTTGCATAAAATATCAATAAGAAATGGGATGTCCCTTCATAAAATGAAATGCAAAATGTTATCATCATGCAAGTGATATTTAGAGTACAGCGGACGTCCTATTCGCGATTAATTCGTTAGTTTCTGCTGCTTCAAATCATTTTCTTGTAATGCCAATGAATTTTCTTTGGAGGAACATGCCGCCATTCTTAATTTATCTATCTGTGAAGGAAGTTTGGAGGGGGAAAACATGAATTTGATTAAAAATAGAGAAATTTTAACCGCAAATCCAAAAAAAAGGAACAATATTTATTTTAAGATTCCCTTGAAAAAAAAACTGAATGAAGGAGCCAAGAACATTATTCCACTAAATTCAAACAAAGATTTTCTGACAGATGCCTCTTACTCTTCAAAATATTAACAAATTCTCTGTCTTTTGAAGAAATACTAATATTTTGAAATGCAACCGCATATATTATCGTAACCTAACCTATTTCTTCAATTTGGCAATAACCTCGGATCACGGTGTGGCTATTTACATTCATGCACTACATGAGGTGCTCTATCAATCGGCACCAGTTTCACCTGCGGAGCACGATTAGGCAATATTCCATAGGATTCAGGCATCCTCCTTCATGCTTCCTTGATCTTGCATTGATCATGTGAGAAAAGCTCATGAGGTTTGGTTTTCCAGGATTTAATATATTTAAAAAAATGTTGTGTTCCATAGGTCTCAAAAAAACTTCCCAAAGTGTCAAAGAGGACGACGATATACCGCAGAGGAACTTGCATCACTTATGAGTCATTGGAGTGCTCCTTGAAGAACCACGTACCAACCACCTATATCAACCTGTTCTCATATGTTTATCTCTCATTTTCATGTATTCATTTTTCATTCAATCAATAATCAAGTAACTCCATGTTTGTGGTTCCTATCATCGATTATCATCTTCAACCTGTTTGCATAGACAACGGTATGAATGCAAATTAAGGTTAGCTTTGAAAACTGGAGGGTGAATGTGTAATGTTTTGGTGAACAGGATCGAGCCAGTACTGTAGGGGGTACTTTTATAAAGATAATGAAATCACCGTAAAAGATAATGCGCATGTCAGGCATAACGGAATAAGAGGGTCACGCGGAAGAGTCGCGGGTTGGGGTGTGCCAAGTGAGTGTGTCGGACAAGGAGTTGAATTGGAGGATTGTGAGGAGAAGTCTTAGAGAAGATGCTGGACATTGAGTGGACCCTTGACGTTAGTGCTGGAGATCGTATGCTGCCTGTCACCCCACCCATACCACTCTGGTTTATATTCAGGTATTGCTCGTTAAGTATCTATTGCCTAATAAGCATTTAAGGGAATAGAATTTTGAATTTCGATCCCATATCCATTTTCTGGTTCTCATTATTGACCTCTTTTCAAGCTGATTGTCACAATAAAGTAATTGTATATTTAAGGAGTCAACGGTGTCATTATAAACCCCGAACACGCTAGCGATCTTCTCGTGATAAGAATTCACGTTAAATCACGTCGGAGCCGCCTACAGAACCAACAGTTATAGTTCTTACAGTTGGTTGCTTAAAATTAATGAGTTCTTGTTTTTTGGCATGCTCATCATGGTTGAAGAAAAAAGAAGTAAATAATTGTGACTTACTTGTTAACAAACAACACCACGTTTCAAACCATTGGGTTAAAAGTGGAAGAATATGTATTAAACCACAACTTTGAAACGAGGAACTTACCAATAGTTCAAAAAACCGTTGCCATGCTTTTTTTAGTGGTGTGGATTTCCTACTTTTAGTAGAAAGGTTTCTTGCTTCATTTGTGGTTCCACACTATCACGAGAAATCAGGAGAATCAGAACCACTGACGTGGTGCAAAAATTGAGAAGTTATATCCGAAGCCAGACAAAACTCTTTCCGCTCCAACTAAACTTTTACCTCCTGACTTGCATTCACACTATCCCATGAAAAGTATTCTCATACTCGCGACTGGGATGTCCTCAATCCAAATACAGTGTCTTACCTGAATATGTTTTTTATGTTTTACCAGCTTGGTTACCCGGCGTTGCCCGGGATATTTTTTACGAGTAATATAGCTGTTGTTCTTTTATGTGATTTTTTGTTAATGCTTTTTTGTCTAAGTCCGGCCAGACCGACGGGGATGGGAGCACTGCTCTGGCCATTTTAATTTTGTTTTTTCTTATTGTTTAAAAGTTGTTCTATATTATTTATTAACTCAAAGGGGCTCTTCTTTCACAAAAATCTAACTTAAATGAGTTTCTCAATGATATTCTTATTTCACAGGAAAAACTAAACTCCATTTTCTCACACATATTCTTACTGAACTGAAAAAATCTGAATTCTAAATTCTAAATTTCTAAATTCTAAAGTGTCTCAATCATTCACTGCAATGCTTGTGGGTAAACCACATTGGTGGTTTTCGAATTGGGGGCAAGAATGAAGAGATTCTTGCTTGACCCAACCCTTGAGCAGGCCACATAGAGTTGGCCATGCGAAAAGCAAGGAGTTCATAAGTCATCACCTGCCACCTTGAGTGACTGGCCTTGTGCCTTGTTGATGATCATGGCAAAGGATAGCCGGACAGGGCACTAGAGTATCTTGAACTCATATGGCACATCAGTGGGGATGATGGGGATGCGAGGAATGAAGACATCCTCACCTTTGGCACACCCAGTCATGATCCTTGCCTCTATGACATGAGGATGAAGGTTTTTCACACACAGTCGTGTGCCATTGCAGAGTCTTGGAGGATCAAGGTTCCTCAGCAACATGATTGGAATGTTCACCTTCAGGATCAAATTGTGAGGTGGCATCCCCGGTGGTTGCAAAGAATTCAGGAACTCTGTCGGGTAGTGTACTGCCTGGTCAGGTTCAACGGTTGTGTCGATGGACTTGTAGCGCCTTTCCTGGCCAGGCAGGTGTCTCAGAATGCGGTTATTGATGGGCCTACCAGAAAATGACTGATGGGAGTGGCAGATCTGTGCCAATATGTGCCTAGGTGGCATTTCCATCATCAATTTAATTTGATGAGAGAAGGGGTCATGAAATGCAGCTTTTAATGAGACATTCCCTTAAATTTAGTCACAACTCATCACATATCCTTTCTCCATAGTAATCTCCCCTCAATCCCCTGAAGAGTACAGCCTTTTTCATCTTCATCATTTGAGCATGAAGGAATCTATCTTCCCTAGTTTAGCTGCATTAAAGTATAGGAAATAATATTGATGCTGCTACTAAGACAAAGGGTTTCTGAACAGTAGACTATTTTATACAAGAATTAAATCTGACAGCAGCTAGTACAGGATTAGGTGCATGTAAATTCCTTGATAGTTTGAATTTTAAAGAAGCAATTTTTGCTACACTCCAAAATATATTTGTAAGCGTGATGTGAGGGTGTCTTCAGTTGCAAAGTTTTCACTTAGAGACACTGAGGGGATCCAATTTCTAATGTCATAGATTTCACTTCTTGGTAGAATATAAATAGGAGCATCATGCTTTCTAATGAAGAGTGTAATGGATCTGCAACGCACTGATGCCTTAAGCCATCTAAATGATGCGATGCATCCCCGCAGTTCCTTTCTTTCTTTCCATTCCTGATACTACAATGAACCCTAAGGAGCCCCACACTTGGTTGTTAATGGATCGCTTTAGAAGTACTGATGGTAATTATATGTTGCCTGTTCTTCAGGCATTTACAGACTTTTTGAGTACAGTTCCTCTTACTCAGTAGTTTTCACCTTCCTCAGAAATATTCTATGGTCAATGCATCAATACTTTATTTTTTCATCATTCAATGTGATCACAAGATCATCTATCACAGTGATATTGAATAAATGTTTCAAATCAGATAAAATCACAAAAGTAACAAGAAGTACCTAGCAACAAAACATTTGGCAATTATTTAGCTACACTACAGATACAACCCAATCAATTAATACGTATTTAATATTCAACTGCCACAAAGAAAATTAATAATAGGAAAACTGCCATGAACAAGACCAAGAAGTCCTAGGCCCGAACAAAAAAAAAATGTAAACGTTTAGTGCAATCCAAGAGAAAGAGAAGAAATACTGGACTGCAGATCAGCAAGGCCTAGGCCCGAACAAAAAGAGGATTTCAAAGCTCAGTTCAATTCATGGTCTCTACGACCAGGACCTTTCCACCTAAAATCCAATGCTCGCTTATCACATCTTTTTTCGAATCTACGGGAGACTTGAACGAATGGGCCCCATTTCTGCTCCTGTTCGAGGAGTTTAGGACCGAACAACCTGGCATTTCAATGCTAAGTAGAAGGAACGGACCCACAGCATGGATTAAAGATGGCTCCATCCCAGCTTATCATTGTGCCTATGGGTCGTCCTTAGAGAGATAGAGCGTCTTCGATTTACCTTGGACCGAGGTAACGAGAGAAAACTGAAAATGTCAAAGCATGTCTGACCTTCACAGACCATTTCACTTTGAACCAGGACGCGATGAGACGACGTCGCTAACATGTTTCAATAAAGATTTGAAAGTTCAAATAAGCAATTTACAGTGTTACTACCATAATTGCCTTGAAGAAGCACGCATTGCAAACCATATGCCCACCAAGAAGGCTTTTTGATACACCATGGCAAATAATTGCATGGAATTGTCGTCCTATGAACCCAATAACGTGGTAATATCTTCTCTTGTCCTTCCAGCAGTGATAATTCCATGGAGAAGTTACTCCCTGTTTAAAGACAAAAAATCAGTACTTGGAATTTAAAGCATCAGGCTCAAATTATACCCAAAAAATGCATCATGAAATGCATATTTTTTCAAATATCAGTTATACTCATGATTGGCGCCATATCGAGATAAAGCCAGTGCACATGAGGGTGTACTTTTTTTTCGAAAGGATTATTTCATCCCAGGGTTAAACGTTTTCGATTTTGCATGGTTATGTAATCATGGCTCATTTCGTATTACGTCTTTGCAATGACCATGATACAGGCCAATAAGTTCATTACGTCACCACAGGATGGGTTTCTGTCCATTTGGCCTTTTTAACTTCCTCGGAGCAGGCATGTGCATGGTGTATCTGACATGATGGTAGTTGAGCCAAATGGCCAGCATCCCAACCTGTGGAGGACGGACATGCGCATTAGGACGTCCGTAGGAAGGTTTCGAGTCAAATGGCAGGAAACGTTTCTTGTGAGAAATACAATGCGCTTGCCTATGTACAGGATGGGAGGGTGGCCATTTGGCCCAAAACCCATCCAGCCATGGGGGCGAACGGAGTAAAATATATCGATTCCCATGTCCGGGAAATTCACCCAATTCAAAGTAAAAACATCACTGTCGAGTCGGTTTATTCTCATACAGGTATTTATTGGAAACACCATCTAGAAAAAATCAGATACATGAAAAGACATGGATAAGATATCAATCAATGCGAAACCATGAATTCTGATGTTACACAATGACATCTAGACACATAATAAAATGGGGGCACCGAGTTCAATCCCACACTAAACTTTGGCTCACTCGAAGGCCAATGGGATATCATTTGCTTCAGTTTTTAAAATCAACGGTTGAAGGTCACAACTGATCCTCGTTCTCTCTGCCTCCATGTGACTCCCAATCTCCTACGTCCTAAAGAGAAGAAAGTCATGAAAAATGCGTTCCATGTGAGCTGCAGAAAGGAGTTTCATCGCGTATCTCTTTTGCAATGATTGTAATATATATATTGATTTTGCGTCACATCATTCCACAGGAATGATAGAACCATGAAAAAAATTGCTTTAAATGTCGCTCACCCATCCTTCACTTCAATGTTAGTTTTTAGAAAACAAAGCATAACAACGTGCCTTTCTTCTTTAACGAGTATTTTGCGACAACTGATTTCTTTCTCATACTTTTACTTGATGATATAATGACCTTAGATAACCTCATGTGAACCAGCAATATGAACTTCGAAGGCATTCGGATTTCATGAAGGAAAATAAATCGGATGCACTCACGTCATTCACCCCTGTAAAATGGCAACACGGTTGGAAGACTTATTCCATTGATACTTCAAAGCTCATCAGTCTCCTTGAAGTAGTGTTTCTGGCTCATTGCCGTTCCATACCTGTGAACAAAAAATAAAATACTTATAACCCCTCCCTGTATGAGACTTAAGGGAAAGAATCATACAATTTGACACTGACCCTTTTGAAGGCATTGCCATGAAATCTATAGTGCCTTGACCCAACTCGAATTTTCCTCTGATAGCCCCCTTTTCAATGTCACCTTGACGAAGGGAAAAAGTGATAGATAGATATCAATAGATAGCATAAATTTCAGTGTTAACGAGAAAAGGAAATTGAGGAAGTACTTTCCTTGCCATGGACAGCAATGCCGAATCCTGTACTTGCATCGCAGCAGCAAAAAAAATCGGGGACAAATAAAAAAATGACTATTTTCAGACTTAATGACAAATTAAAAGCCACAATCTCAGTAGAAATATTTCAAACTCATCTTGTTATAGAGAGTAACTCCATGAGAGACTCTGGAAGCCGGGCACTCGGGTTTACTGACACTCTGCTGGAATATCTGGAGACATTTCGAGATCGAAATTCTCCCATGTCTTGTCTCCCATGTCTATGTCCCTTCAAAATCAGGAGAGAAATGTGTCATTATCGATGTACTGTTTTCCTATAAAAAGAAAATAGATTGAAAAGAAAAACCCACTCAGTTTGCGTTTCCAATTCAATGCCAGGAAGAAGCTCAATGGATGTCTCTGTGTCTCCGCTACTCCCCTGGGACTCAAACTTCAAATCAACAAGGGTGACCAGCTTCATCTGAGGAGGAAGTTCTCCTTTTCCTGCGAGAAATCGATAAGTCTCCCAATTTGTTCATTACGTCCGGCAGTACATGAGCAGCCTACAAACACATAAAATCATTCATCTCACACATTCGACTCACTCAAGTCTCGGATGTTCGACAGGAGCCAGCAGTTGGGCTTTTGAAAAGATTCCAGAAACTCCTTCCTCGTGAGCACAGATGTTGGAAGAGCAATCCTGTGCCTAGCTCCAATCACCACATAGGTGTGCTGGTGCTTGAAAAGTTCTCCTGGAATCGGGAAAATTGAAGCTATAAACCGAGACTCAGGTTTTTCCAGGTATGAATTCAATTACTCACCTTCACATTCCGTCTTATGCAAAATGGCGACATCGGTTTTCAGTTCCTGTCTTCTGAGGGAGTCCCGGATCTCTGCAGCGTGTTTGATATCATCAACACAGAAGGCGGTGGGGATATTCTTTTCTGCTTCACAACGACCTTGATGCGCATGGAGCCCCAGGAGATATTTCTCAACATCTCCGGCATCCTAAAATCGGGACACAAGAAAATAGATGTAAAGAGTCACCAACACATTAGCAAGAAGACGAAACACGATATCTCACATCGATTGAAAAGACCGCAGCATGGAGAGGGTGTATAAATGCGCCTTTTGGAATTTCCATGTGGTTTCCTAAAATGGTATGAACATCAAGACCTGTTTCTGGAAACTTTTCCACCCTCTGAATTGCTTCCCCCGAAATGCATAGCTCCACGTAGCTCTTCCACTCGTCTGCGGTCTCGTGCTTCTTCTTTATGCTCATGAATGGTTTGAGTGACTCATCAGTCACTTGCTGCGAGAACCTCTGAAAAACTTCCTCTTCCTCCACTCCAGCAATCCTGCATAGATAGAGAATCATGGCATTTGCATCTATGTGACAGTGGCACGCCATTAATTGTTTCGGGGTATTGGGAGATTCAAAGCTTTTTTTCTTTTTAGGTTCTTTTTAGGCAAATCTTTTTAGGTATGGATACGGGAAAGGGAATTTCTCTTTTGAGAAAGGAAATTCAAATTGGCAATTGCAATACCTAGCGAAGGATCTGATCAGGGTCTTCTTCTGAATCAATTCACTTAGCTTGTCCCCAAACTTCTTTATGTCTCTCTCTTGCTTCAGGATTCTCAGGTTCTCCTGTAAAAATCAAAGAATAAACTCAAATGGTGCGTCACCTGGTTTCATTGTAATCAGGGACTGGCAAGAAGAGAGGTCAATATAATCCATCAATAATGACAATTAGTATCAGAAATGGGCCACATGGGAGGTCTAAAGAGAGAAGATCTAAAATGGGGTACATTTTAGATTTTCTGCACCAATGTTCCAAATGTTCTTTCTTTTAATATATATTAATCACAGGATCAAAACATTGCGAATTCTGTTAAATGCAAAGGATTTTACTTTGACTTGTCAATGACAAAATTTGTTGACTGCTATCTGTCTTCACAGGAAGCAGAAGTTGATTTCCCTTATTTGTTTTCCACTTATAGTATCTCAGTTGCTTCAGTTTGGAATTTATTTTCACCTTTCAAATGCAGTGATTCATATGCAGAGAAGAAAATAAACTATGTCATAGGGATAGAAAGACTGAAATACCATGAAATCATTTGTGGTGATGTAGGGATTCCCGAGATGTCGCAGATGGTACAGTCTTTTGTCAACGCTGCCAGGTTTCTTTCGCTCCAACTCCCTTGCAATAGTCAGAAATTCTTTCACTGCCTCCGATCCCATATGGAAAATATTCTTCAGGACCTGATGCTTCTTTTTATCCTAGTGAGAATGTCATGAGGATTTATGATATGCAGAATTCACCTGGCTGCATGAATCAAACAAAATTTCATTATCTGTATAACTCATTGGTTTCTGTAAAATGTATTTCACGTGCCATGGATAGAAAAAAGGTAATAAAACAAGGCATCTAAAAAATACTCGAGCAAACGAGCAAAAATTAGAGAATGTGATTTTCGGCTCACTTTCAGGATGTCGCCATAAGCTGCCTGGATCTCTGTTTCATTCTCCATGTTCTCTCGAAGCTCTTCATATTTCTCCAACTGAGGACAAATGAGTATCGGGCATGGAAAATTGGCAATCCAACAAGCTTCTAATGTACAAAGAAGTGCAACAAATATAATGTTCTTGGCAATAACATGTTCTTCAGATTTTTACTGTACTTATCAATTCTTTTATACTGTGCAATAATTCACGGATTGAATTCTCACGACGTCAAGGGCATCATAGGGGACTCCTTGGAGCTTGGCATTCTGAAGTGCCAACGTTCTCTTTCCTGTCTCTGTCAGACCCCAGTAGATGGCACAGGTGCAGGTGTCTTTGCCCTTTCCCTTCTCCTGGCGGATCTCCTTCCGTGCCTGGACAATGTGCTGGCCAGCTATGACCTCATACTTGTATGCGTGGATCTATAACAAGAAACCTTGCTGATCAGGGCGTTCCATAGACCAACATGTGAAATGCACTGAAAATCGTCATATTAAAGAATGATCCTTTACTGTAACGATAACCTTGCTCGAGGGCAAAAGTGACCATAAAAACTGCTACCTGTTGCCTGACTGAACCGGAGAAAAACAATTTTGTAACATTCAGAAATGGGAAAACGTGATGTCCTATTCACACCCTTCGAAGTCCATTTTATGCGCATGGATTTTCATGAGGTGTTTACAATTTAATTAATTCCAATTGATTTCCCCATTTGAAGACATTTTTAAAGCTGGCATATCTATTTTCTGACCACTTAAGTACCAATTCATTTCCATAGCAACTTACATAGCTGACGTTGAAGATATCCGCATTGGGGCTTGAAGCCACGACGATGGGTAGCTGGCTTCCCCTGTCTTCGCCTTCTGCGATGAGTTTCTCTTTCAGCAAATTCTTACTCTCCGTCGAGAACGTTCTTGCAGCTGAATGACTCCTTTCAAGAAGAGCCATAGGTATCTCGTGATTTCCTGCATGAGACGGAATATGATGGCTTTGAGAAGATATTTGACATCAATAAATTCATTGCAGCAAATAAACCCCAATTAAATTTATAGGAAGGCAAATCGTTCTTCATTAGTAAGACGATGGTTCGTGAAAATCCAACGGCCTAATATTAATGGCAACAGAGCAGGTTTTCTGCTTCCCAGACTCATACAGAATTTTCAATTTGATGATGTGATGTAAAATTGAACGCACCACGATAACATGCTTCGAGACTCGTTCGGTTCCAAGAACTGAGAGATGTCTTCCTCTTCCTTCCAGGTTGGGAATTATTCCCTTCTGTTTCGGTTCTTTTCAAGCTATTGTATCTCACGCTCGACTCTGAGGTCGCCGCAACAATGGATGTGACTTCCAGAGGTGATGGAGGGGAGATCGTTAAGGTGAAGGGGGAATCTTGTGAACATTCTCCTGAATGCTGAGAGGCTGCAGTGGTACCGCAGGCATGACGTCTAGAGGGATGAAATGTATATATTATTCATGGATTAATCGGTATCTGAACATTAATTATATATTGCGGAATCTGAATACTTCGAGGGTGTTATGATACGTATGGAAAACAAAGTATAGAAAGGGAAGCAACAAACTGGGGAAATAAAGAAGGTTCGCAAGTGCTTCTTGTACTTTTGTTACCTCTCAAGATGAAGCCGAACATTTTATAGTTTCTGTGGCTGAAAGGCATTTGCATATTTCCTTGTTTGGGAACTTGGGGGTGGGGGGGGGATGAAAGCCGGTTTTTGCAAGCGTTTTAGAAAATATCAGCCTGTTATCCGGATGTTTCGATAACCAATGGGACCTACTGTACACCTCCATCATCTCTTCCATAGACGACAATTTCAGGAGGGGACGGAAATGAATTACTCACTTGTAATGTTCCTTGTTGATGAAAGCCACCCGCTGCTCTGTACCGACAACGCCAATGAAGCGATTTATGGCCTTCACAAGGTCTTCAAGACGTCTTGTTTGGAGGTACTCCTTCACTATAGCAGAAGTGATCTTATTGCTCCCAGTGATCCGTCCCCTTGAGACCACAACAGATCTCTGCGTTCCTTCGAACGCCAGCTACAGAAAGGGAAGATACTGCATATTAGAAGCCAACTCACGCATAACCCACATCTTAACACACTTGGAGCTGTGAGTACCCTTTCTGGAAATTCTGACACATTCTAAGCCTTTCCCAACAGAAAGCAATTGGACATAGGCATTTACCTCAATATGGTCAAAAGTCGGATGCAAGTTGGCAGCCTGAATGGCAGGATATTCCATCCTTCCCCCTTTGACCTTCAGGCGTTTCCCATTCTTGTCTTTCTTGTTTTCACCAACCATGAGAAACACATTCTTCTTCTCGGTTGAAAAGAACACCCACTTGTCTCTAAAGGTGAGGTGCTCACACACTAAAAAAAAAATTATGCACATAAAATGATATACGGGAGTGGCAACACAGGAATAAAACTCTTTCAACGTTGCATTCAGATTTTACGCCCACTTAACGAACTCATGTAATTGCTATTATGCGAACATCGGGAGACTCTTCGATTAATTGCATGCTGCGTTATGATAGTATAAACACATCCTCAGTCAATAACATAGGTGGAAGGTCCTTATAGTCTTTGAAGGTCCTTGAGAAACACATTCTTCTTAATAAGTAAGTTTATGACAGAGTTGGTGGGAAGGAAGGACGCTCGAAGTGCAACATCAGACCAAGGGAAATGTTATAGTGGAGATTGAATGCGCCACAAGATTCCAGTATCACTTCCAGTAATTATCACTTACTGGAAGATGAAGATCGGCGTTCAAGCTGTCCATGTCCTAAGTGTCCGCTCTCAGAATTGAAAGAAGTGTCTGTTCCGCTCATTGTACACGTGTAGTTCTCCTTCTCCGTCGTTGGTTGCACTAGGAAATGAAACTGAGGCCCACCGCGGATGAAGAATTGAGTTAAAGAACTAGTCACCTACCAGCATGCGTGCGAGAAAAACTAAGGGAAAAAAAAGAAGAAAATCATGCAATAAAGATGATGGAAAATGTGAAGAAACAGACGCAAGAATAGTGGGACCAAGGAACCAGGAAGACTAACACGTCTATCATGCAATCCAAAGTCAACAGAAGAGAATAGTTTCTTCCTGAGGGCTGAAGGATAGAAGAGGCTATTATTTTTTATATTTTTTTTTTACACGATCAAGGATACGAACATGGACAGACTAAAGAACTAACTACTGAATAGGCAAGAGCTATGAGGCGATACAGAAGCAGATTTATAAAAATGAGAAGATAATAGGTGAATAAGAAACAGGAGAAAGTTTCTCTTGCGATATTTGCTGAAGTGGCCCAAGTTGAGGTTGAAGGCGATCCGGCAAACGCACGAGCAGAAGAGAAACTGAAGTCCTCCCCTTGGCTCAGCCTGGAGGAGGAAAGGGGGGGACTGGCTGAAGCTCCGCCTCCTCTACATTTTACCTTTCTCCACACTTCACCCATCCGCACCATCACCCAAGATAATTCTGCAATTTTCGTAGCGCTTCATATTGTAAAGAGCACCTTCCGACACTTATATCCTTGGCCTCCTATTCAAACGACGAGAAGAAGACTCCTCAGTCTATGCAAGTTGCAATGCTGGATAGCGAAAGTGACTTTCAAGTTAGATACCTCGCAGTCTTTAGGGTACAAGACTTGCATTGAGTTATGTATTTCATTGCTTTTTATTTATCTGGAATCGGCCACGTCCGTCGAAGATAATCCTTGTGAAATGAAAATACCTGTATATGGACAACGAAGAAGCGTAAGGATGACGTTGGAATCGAAGTGATGTATTTCTCCTTTTCCCCTAACCATACCCCACTGTATGACATTTGCGTGCATCAAATTTCTTCCTCGAGATGACAATTATTTTTCGATTGGAAGAGATTCTTAATAAATTCTCCGGATGAGGAACACATGGCTGAGACGAAATAGTCATATCTTTCTCCTTCGCCTTGGGCGCATCATGTCTCTGATACCAGCTGGGAAACGGGCGAAAGGGGCGACAGGCAGGCCGCCTTGTTTTTTGACAACCAGGAGAGGGAACCTCGGCTTCGCCTCGATCCCCCTCCTGGATATCGGGAATAACTCGTCCGCCTGCCGATCAGGTGTGTTAGTGAGGCCTATTTCGGTTATGCAACTCTCCTCCCTCATGTAACCTATACTTATCACCTTCTATCAGCTTAGATTAAAAAATGGAGCACTTTCCTAATGTTTTTTTTTTTTCATTTAACTCAGGTCAAGGTGAACTAATGGGGGGGTTTAGCATCTCCTCAAAGCATATTCCCCAGACTTAAAAAATGCGTGGAGGCTGGGATGGGCAGGCATCTAACGAAACATCATTGGCGCTCTTCTGATCACACTTAACGTGCTACATAGTAAATGGTAGGGCTGTCACGATAGAGTGATGCATCGATACCACCATCGATGGTTGGAGGCATTGATAGTTTGTTCGACTATCGCGATGTATCGGCAAAATATTTTTAAGGGAAAAACGTCCCATTAGATTGAGGCTAATACAGACCGTCCTGGAAAAAATTATGTGAACGGGCTTGGCAACTGATTTTAAACGGCAATAAGAAAAAATTACGGCTGTGCTGATGCATCCACCAATGAAAGGATGTAATGTTCGATAATTGGAAGGATGGTAGGTTTCATTACTCCTTGCGAAGGTCACACATTCCCCTGGAACCCCCAATCACAAGCGTAAGATTATGGAAGACGGAAAGAGGTCCGCGCTCCGATCGAGCTAAGAAACGATTGAACACACACCTACGCCCAATCGCGCCGAGAAAAGATTGATTCCTCCGCCCCCCCCTCCCCCGATGCAGCGATAAATTATCGATAGTTCAGGTTGATGCACCAATGTTTTGAAAACTGCTATCGGACATCCCTAGTAAATAGCCTGCTTACCTTCGTTCGTCTCATCTACTACGTATGTTTAGGTCACAGATGGCTTTGTTCACTTTTCGAGCCTGTATGCCACACAAATTCCTTTTGTCTGAAGGATAACAGGATCCAAAGCAAATAGTCCACGCTCGATATGACGAACTCGAAGGAGCGGGCGACAAAATTTCGTTGGGGAAGGAAAACTTATTTAGGAGGGAATTCCTCGCTATAGCTCATAGAAGAAAATGTCAGAAAAATATATACACATCCAACGTTCACTAGTTCTCTAAAACCGATTCTGGGGGGACGTCCTAGGGTATTTAGGAATTCAAAAACGGATTATGAATCAGATGGAAAATAAAGAGCTCACCATGGGTCACTTGAGGTCAATCAGGTCTCTGGGATATAGTCAGGAGTCAGGAGAGTTAGTGATATCAAGAGGCGATTTCGCCCATTTCGACATCACGTGTCGAGCTCGAGCGTTCCTTAATTTTAGGGTAGGCCTAACCCTCTTAAAGCTAAATATATTTGTATTTTTGTTTTGTTTGTTTGTTTTTTTTTTTTTACTATCTTAGTTGCTTACTGTCTAGTACCTACGTCAACATTGCCCCCCACCTTTTTGCCTGTCCATGAAAGCATCTAGTTTCTTCTTAAAGATAG